ATTTTTAAATCTAAAATGAAAACAAAGTTTTTTTATCTCTTGCAGTTTTGAACACAGACAAACACAAGACGCTTTATGCACATTAAATATTTACATCTTCTTACGACAAAAATGTAAAATAATATTAAATGGTTGCAGTTCTGGGAAATTGGCCAAAAATTTAAACCAAATTAAACCGAAAGGCTTTTTCTACAAAATATGCGCTCTCTTGGAGCAAATTTTGATGAATTGGATGTACTGCTTCAGAAACAAAATTTGAAGCCTCTTTTGTTGTTCTTACAGAAATTTGGCTTAGGGATATATCTAATCATAACATTTGTTGCCAAAATGATTTTCAGCACATAGCTACATGTAACAGAACCAAAGGTAGGGGTTGAGGAGTAGCAATTCTTTCCAGCGAAGAAAACGTTTTTAAGATTTTGAAACGTGCATCCCCAAAAGCAATCCAATTTCTTACGGTCTCGACTATCTGTAACAAACAGAAATTGTTTCTAACTGCGGTTTACAAGTAGCCCAGTGCAAATGAAAATTTACTTGAATTTTTTTGACACATTTGTTTGAATTAAAAATTGACACTAAAGATAAACAAAAAAATAAGTGGAAATTTAACATAGATAAATCTGTTGTGACACAAGATAGCACGCAACTCATCATAAAATGGAATTGCTTGTTTTTAATCTGATATCTGGGCCAATTGACAGCACGCGTGTTACACAGAACTCTCGAACAATCATAGGTTTAGCCTTTGCAAATTTTCCATGCACCACTCAAAATTATTGAACACACAACCACTGATCATTATGGTGTTGAAGTTCAGAACGAAATTGTTCAGAACGAAATTGTTCAGAACATAGTTCAGAACGAAATTGAGTTTGAACATAGTGCAATTGGTATTGATGAAAAAAATTGAGTTCCTGCAGCAGCAAGTTAACAACACTCTGGATGCAATATAACCATTGTCAAAGAAAAAACAAAAACAAAAAAAAAGATGATATTGAATGATATCAAAATTGTGAGTGCTAAAAAACTGAAATTACTAAAAGCGTATCAAAATCAGGGTACTTTAGAGGCAAAGCAAAAACTGAAACAGCAAACTGTTCAAGTAAAAAAATTGGTAGCAGAAAATAAAAAATGCCCAATACAACTTTTTTTGATTAAGTGAAAGAAGTTAGAGGCGATTATATGAAAAAAGGTCAAATACCGAAGAAAATCTTGTAACTGCACAAGAATTGAACGACTATTTCGTCACAATCGGTCCAGAGTTATCATCTGGATTTCAAAAACATAGTGATTTTTCCAAAAATTTTGCCAATACAATTTTTTTCTTCCTGTCACAAATTGACGAACAGGTTTGTGACAGAATAAAGCAACTGCCCAACAAAAAGTGTGAAGATGTCATGGGTCTGTCAAATTACCTAATCAAATAAATTAACTCTATTAGAACAGCTCATTTGACCAGTATTTTGAACCAGATAAATAGCGAAGCAGTTTATCCCAGTTGTCTTAAACGGCAAAAGTAGTTTCTATTTTCAAAGAAGGAGACAAGTCACCTCATGCAATTATAGACCTATTTTTTTAATGCCTGTTAAAGGAAAAGGAAACGTTTTTGAAAAACTATTATGCGAATAAATAATTTTTTCACTAAGTTTGACGTCTTAAGCAATAAACAGTTTGGATTTCGCAACAAAGGCTCTACAATTGACGCTATTGGGGAAATTTTAGAGGTTCTTAATGAAAGCAAAAGTACTGATAAATTGTCGCACTGCCCATTCTCAGATATATCTGAATCTTTCGATACTGTTGATCATAACACTCTTATGCACAAGTGTCACCTTTACGGGCTGAGAGGCGTTCCTCTTAATTTTCTGAAATCCTATCTCAGCAATAGAAACCAGCATGTCTTTCATTCGAACAATTGTTCAACAACAGAGAAGCTTCTTTGTGGGATACCTCAAGATTCTGTTTTGGGTGCCCTTCTTTTTCTTATTTAAATCATTGATCTTCCCAACATACCACAGCACAGTGAATTTATTCTTCATGCGGATGACACTAATTTTTTTGGAACACTCAACGAAACTAAAGAACTTAAAACAGATTTGGAAATAATATCAGAATGGATGGCAAATAATAAACCTACAACAAACAAAAAATAATAATAATAATTATCAATGGAACAAAAAAATTTGGAAGGGTTACCTGGAACCAAAACACGATGACTAATAAGTGCATTAAAAGACATGGGATTAATATTGGATCAAAATGTTACCTTCAACCATTATATTGAATCAGTAAGAATAAAAATGCAATCGCTTCATATCCGATTTTTCATCAAACCAAACAAGACAGTTTCTCAGCTCATTTGTTCTGATTAGAATTCACAAGCAGTTTATACAACCATTATATCAATATGGTGTATTAGTATACGGAGTTGCCAATAAAACGGCTTTAAAAAATTGGCAAGTACAACAAAAATTTTTAAATTCGAATTGCGTTTCGCCTCAAAAAAACCTAAGAAGTAAGGACAATGAATTACGCAGGGAATTTGCTCAATCGTTGAATTACACGTATACGAACTGCTGAAATTACTCTCTAAAGTAACAAGACGAGAACATGAAAATGACAAAATGGACAACTTTATTTCAAAACAAGAGTAAGACAATTCACTCGATACCTTTTGAAGAATAAAATCGCCAATAACAAAAATAAAATTAACACGAAATAACAAAAAATTTATATCTCTGCCAATACGGACAGTATATAATTTTCTAATTAATTTCAATATGAATATCAGTAAAGAAGTTTCAATCGAGCCTAAACAGTCAGTAGACAACCGTATGCATGAAGTCAGGGATACTCATTTAATTAATTGTGTCTATTTCAACAAATTGATTTGGTAGAAAAGTATCGAGATAGTTTTTTCTTACAAAAGTAATTGAACTATGAAGCGAACACCCATAAAAAAACATCGTTTTAATTGAAATGAAGCAAATAATATGAAATATAATTTTTGAGTCTGAAAACTGTTTTTGCTACTTTTCTTTGCTCGTAAATATATCTAAAAAATATCAAATCGATGCAAAATAAGCGAACTGTAAGACGTTGAAGTTTACTTTTTTCAAAATCTATCTTTTTTCTGGATAAATGTTAGTTAGATTAAACAATCAGGTCCATATAAGGCAGTACTTAATGGAAATTTCTCAGCGGCGCTTCAACAGGTTGAATTATCTTCTGCGCTCGCTCAATTTGGTGCTCTATCAATGATAATTTCCCTATATTGTTGGATTATTGCACTACTTGAAACAAATTTATTTATTTTTGTAAAATTGCCTTAAGATGACCTTCTAGCTTTGAAATTTTTTTTCCTTTTTAAGTCTTTTTTCTACAAATAATGTTGTCCAGTTTGCCTATTTTTCTATGTCTGTCAAATATGCCTTTTCTAGTTTTTCGTTCAGATACTTTTATCACCCAACGTAGAAAAAACTACACTAATTTGAAAAGCTTTTTTTGTGTTTTTACTATGGGCGTAACATTCTGTGCTACTTGCACAGTAACTTGCTATCCTTGTTAAATTTAGAATTTGGTGCGGATTTAAACAACCGATTGCTGATTTTTTTTGGTAAATTTCATCAAAAAAATGGCAAACAAAAGCTGCTTTCTTGGTTTCCCGTAGGGTAGAAAAAAAATCAGCTAATTTGGGCAAGAAAAATTGACCGAATTAGTGTGGGTGAGATTTTTGAAAATCTTCCCCTTTTTTCTTAAGTAATTTCGAGTTGTTAAGAGTTCTTCTAACGTCCCAGAAAGACCAGACTTTTGTGCCGCAGCCATTTGTTGAATAAAAATTGCCGTTTCAAGCATTTTTGGGAGGTATCGACTAAAAATCGCGTTCTCCGTCGAAAAAACTGTTGGTTGGTGCCGAAGACGCGTATAAAATACATTTTTAGCTTTGGTCCACCACTAATACTTGGAGTAAAATAGTAGTACGTGGGGTTTATTATAGGTTGTGTCCTTATCTGGGCGTGCAACTGCTTAGAAAGTACATGTAGTATTCAGATTTTTAAAACGGATTTTGATGTTTTTTGTTGTTGCTTATTTTTCCTTATTGTTGCTAGTAATGCGAAGCCCCGCTTTGCTTCTGTTTGAAACTTTAGAGCAGCGAGTTGTTTCTCATAGTTTTTGCATGTCATGATTTTTAATCAAACATGATTTTAAGTAATTGCAAGTCATGAAAGCTCCAACGTGAATGAACTCTCATTTTTTGGCTCTGAGTTGATACGAACAGACAGCAATATTACGTCATGGCAAATCATGTGATATATTTCAGTGGTTAAATGCAACGATATTGAAAACAGAGCTCGGTTATCATGCGCACAAGGAATTCTTTCAACGGGAAATGAAATGCAAATTTTTCCTTTACACTTTGAGGAAAATACATTATAGATAGAAAAGTGGAATAAATTTTTCGGGCCTTTCCTTTGGAATAGCTATTCTTGTTTGCAGCAGCCCGTTGCGTTATAGGTGTATTGGACGGGTGCCGGACATCAAGCCGACGGGACTTCAAGCCGAATCGTAAAATTAGGGACTTCAAGCCGAAAATTTTCTCATTAAGTCATGAAATAAGGTTATTTTGAAAACTTTTTTAAAAGAATTTCTCAATTTCATGATCTTTATTCGGTAATTAATAGCGTTTTCACGAAATTTAAAGCTCCAAATGAAGTATAGGAAAAGTGAAAAATAAAACACGGTTGAAGGTAATTTTCTTGTTTATAATTTATGCATTTCAAAAAACGGCTGATATTATTAACTTATGCCAATCATAAGTAATTCATTGTCATAAATAACGCTTATTATGGACTAAACTAGCCTGAAATTTTGAAAAGAAACGTTTTACAGATGAAAAAAATAATGGTTTGAGGTGCTTGTAAAGTTTAATTTTCGGCCTGAAGTCCCTTCGGCTTGAAGTCCCGTCGGCTTGTTGTCCTAGACCCGTATTGGACGGCGAGCTTTATTTTCGACGAATCCTCCGATAGCTTAAAAATAGAGACCGACTTCTCTACGTCACATCCGAAAATAATTTTGACGTAATTGTTCAGAAGATTCTAGAATGACGCCTTCATGTTAAGAACGTTTAAATATACAAAATGCAAGTCATGCCATTTCAAACAACTACCGTATAAAAGCATTCTGCAAACGAAAGAAAATTTAGTCTTTCAGATTATCTCTAACCTTCAATACAGTCAAACACAGCAAATATATTCTCAATTTTGTGACTTGCTCATATCTGGCTCAAAACAAGATTGATTTCTACCATTCTAATCAAATTGATTTAATCAAAAAAAGTATTCTACGACTGTGATGTCTTTAACCGTGAAAGCATTCTTCAAAGAAGAAATTCGTCGGTTTGCGCTCGACGTTTCCAACGCTACTTCGTTCGCCTATCTGGAAGGTAAGGTGCGAACTTCGTTCCAGAATTTGCCCGCAAAGGGAAAACTCTTGCTGAGATGGAAAGATAGCGACGGAGATTTGGTCACCTTCAGTACCGATGACGAACTTGTCGAAGCTCTGAGCTCTGCCGAGAACGGAGTTTTCCGAGTTCACTTGGCCGAGAAGGAATCGCCGAGGCATAACGACAATGGTTTCGGCGATGCTTGGCTCTCGGGTGGAATCCAGGATGTGCTTGGATGCCCTCCTCCTCTGCCGCCTCATCACGGACACGCACCCCCGCCACCTTTGGGACCCCACCCTGGATTCCCATTTGGGTCTCACGGCTGTTTCAACGATGGACCAGCGGTGCATCATTTCGTGACGTGCGACCAGTGCAATGCGTCGCCGATTGTTGGAACCCGATACAAGTGCAAGACTTGTCCTGACTACGATCTCTGCTCAACTTGTAAAGTGAAGGGACTTACCTGTGGCAACGCAGATCATCAGTTCAAACAAATCTCTCATGTACGCCCAGGCCAGGCTAACTGGGGACCCCGAGGAGGAGGCAGATGGGGAAGAGGACGCGGCAAGTGCCCGATGCTTCGAAAAATGGATGGAGAGCAATCAAGCGACGAGGAAGCTGGCAACAGTCCGAAGCACTGCGGTGGACCTCTCGGCAAAGAAGAGCGAGAAAAACTGATCAATGTTGTCAACATTGTCAAGGAGAGCGCCAAAACCCAGGCATTCGAAGTAGCGGGAGCAGTTGCTGGGGATTGTGCCGGAGAAGCAGCCGCAGTTGCTGTGCGAAGTTCGATTCGAAGAGCTCTCATAGTGCAGCGACGATCCGGTCTGGGGCCGAAACAAACGAAACATACGAAACCTAAGAAACATCACGATGGGTCATCTTCGAGCAGCGATGAATCTGATACTGACTACGAAACAGCTCACGTGATTGACTCCGCGACTGACTCGAAGAAACTGAAGAAGCAATCCAAAGTGGCGGCCAAAGCTGTGGCAAAACTGGCCGCGAAGGAAGTGACTGAAAGCTTTGGTAAACTGGCTGGCAAGTGGGCGGCCCAAGCTGTCAAGCAGAGTATGCTTGTTTCGATCAAGATGTGCGTGAAAGCTGAGGCAAAGCGTGAAAAGAAGCAGGCCAAGAAAGATCACAAGCAGTTCAGCGTGACATTCCACGAGGATGCGACCTCAAATGTGGAGCAAATGGAGGGAGTTTGGAGCGGTGTAAACACCAATAGTGCGACTTCTGCTGGTGCAGGAGTGAGTGAGCCATTGAGTGTGACTCTGAACAATGTTCCGATCTACCCTATGGCGCCGCCTGAACAGGTTCCTCTTCACTCTGAACCTCAACAGCCGGTGTTGAGTGCCGAGGATCAGGCAATTATGGATGCGATCGCCGCATTCAAGAACATGGGATTCACTCCTGATGAAAAACTGGTGGACGAGATCAAAAAAGCGAAGGGAGACATCACTGTCGTGTTTGACCAGATGAAGAAATAAACACAAACAAGTGATCAAAATCGTATCAACAGCAACTGATGAGATCAAAAGATACTCGAAATTACCTTGATGAATGAAAATAGATGTATAAGTATTGCATGTCTTAGTAATAACTGATATATCGAAATAGAATTTTATTGGCTGCATATTATTTATATTTTTTAACATGGCCTATTAAAAATATAAATGGCCTAATTAGTCTGCATGTCGATTTTCGTGACAATCGGACAAGTTGAACAGTAGTTTAAAATGTAAAAATTTGCAGGTGGGGGGGGGGGGGGGAAGGAAAAAGAGCCTGGATTATTTATGTCTTTTCTCGATTCTGATTGGTTCATACAGTATTTGTCTAAATACGCGGTTGTCTAAATACAGGCTGCACTCCGAGAAAAATGTATGTCATGGCATATATGTCAACTAACCGAAATATTTCCTTGTGGAATAATCATGTTGCTTTCAACAATAAACAGGAGTTATTGTAACAGAGCAAAATGTTATGTCTACCCTTGTAAGCAGCTTTGAGGATATTCTTTGTTAAAAAGCTTCAAATAATCTTGAAGTTGTTTCAAGTTCCGAAGTTTTTGTGCTCGGTGTGTTTTCGCCTAGAAACATCGATCCTTTAAATAACAGTTTTTGCGGATTTTTTCAAAATACCATCTGCGAGACATCGATGCCCCGCGCTTCAAAATCAAAAAATCAAGTGTGTAGATAATGCAGCAAAATAATCCGGTTTGAATCAACCTTGATTTTTCAATAAATACATTACATGACATAAAATTTAGCAATTTGCTCTTGGCAGTTCATATGGTTGAGACTTTCAAAACATTTTTTCTAAAATTGTTCAGCAAAAAATGCACCGGACAAGTTAAAGAGCAGTCGGATCATCGAGGGCTTAGTCTTGGTACAAAATTTAATCATTTATGAGTTAGCTAATTCTACTATTTGCGTTTAGTCAAGAAATAGTTGCCTCAATTTGGAATGACTTGAATGCGCTTTTATTCATTTTCTGCTTGCGCAGTAAGTGTAGTCAGAATTGAGACTTATCTCAGTTCGAATAGGCTTTTTATGCAAATTTAAATTTCCCATAATTGTGTGGAAATGATCAAAAAAATAAAAAGAAAGTGACCTGAATTGATTGCATCTGTGATAAAAAAAATTTTTCATGTTTTTTTTAATTGAAAGCCAGAGAACCGCTAATTGAAGCTTTGAAAACTAGTGGCGACATCAAAGAAAGTGATGTTGCGACTATTTTTTTAAATATGCGACTACATCCAGCGACTAATTGCTTGTTAACGCCGCGAATAATTTTTCGACCATACCATGACTAATTTTTTGCACGCCGCGACTAATCTTTCAACCACCACTACTAATTTTTTGACCATGCCGCGACTAACTTTTCGACCATGCCACAACTAATTTTTTGACCATGCCGCAACTAATTTTTCGACTGCTGCGACTAAATTTTTGACCAAGCCCCGACTATTTTTTTGACCATGTTGCGACTATTTTTTTAAATATGTGACTACATCCCGCGACTAATTGCTTGTTAACGCCGCGACTAATTTTTTGACAATGCCGCGACTAATTTTTCAACCGCCGCAACTAATTTTTGATCATGTTATTATGATTTTTTGCAAATATACCTCTACTAACTTTTCGACAACGTTGCGTCTACTGTTTCGACCACCACGAATTGTTTTTCGACCAGCACGACGAATTTTTCGACCGCCGCAACCACTTTTCTGGCCATGCCGCGACTAAGTTTTCGAAAACGTTGCGTCTACTGTTTCGACTACGACGACTTATTTTTCGATCATACCGCCACTAAATTCTTGAACGAAGCAAATACGTTTTTGACCGTGTTGCATCTAATTTTTCGACCACCGCAACAAATTTTCGACCATTCTGCTACTAATTTTTTGACAACCGCGACTAATGTTCCGAGCACCGCCATTAATGTTTCGACTGCCACGACTAATTTTTCGACTATACCACGATTAATTTTTCGACCTTGCCGCAACTAATTTTTCGACTGTTGCGACTAAAATTTTGACCAAGCCGCGACTATTTTTTCGACCGCCGCGACTGCTTTTTTGACAATGCAGTGACCAAATTTTCAACCACCGTGCCGCGACTAATTTTTTGACCACTGCGAATAAGTTTTCGACCAGGCGGCGACTACTTCGACCACCGCGACTTATTTTCGATCATGCCGCGACTAACTTCTTGAACGAAGTAATTATTGTTTTGACCGTACCGCTCCTTTTCGACCATTCTGCGACTAACTTTTCGACCCTTGCGACTAATGTTTGACCACTGCGACTAATGCCGCGACTAATTTTTCAACCGCCGCAACTAATTTTTGATCATGTTATTATGATTTTTTGCAAATATACCTCTACTAACTTTTCGACAACGTTGCGTCTACTGTTTCGACCACCACGAATTGTTTTTCGACCAGCACGACGAATTTTTCGACCGCCGTAACCACTTTTCTGGCCATGCCGCGACTAAGTTTTCGAAAACGTTGCGTCTACTGTTTCGACTACGACGACTTATTTTTCGATCATACCGCCACTAAATTCTTGAACGAAGCAAATACGTTTTTGACCGTGTTGCATCTAATTTTTCGACCACCGCAACAAATTTTCGACCATTCTGCTACTAATTTTTTGACAACCGCGACTAATGTTCCGAACACCGCCATTAATGTTTCGACTGCCACGACTAATTTTTCGACTATACCACGATTAATTTTTCGACCTTGCCGCAACTAATTTTTCGACTGTTGCGACTAAAATTTTGACCAAGCCGCGACTATTTTTTCGACCGCCGCGACTGCTTTTTTGACAATGCAGTGACCAAATTTTCAACCACCGTGCCGCGACTAATTTTTTGACCACTGCGATTAAGTTTTCGACCAGGCGGCGACTACTTCGACCACCGCGACTTATTTTCGATCATGCCGCGACTAACTTCTTGAACGAAGTAATTATTGTTTTGACCGTACCGCTCCTTTTCGACCATTCTGCGACTAACTTTTCGACCATTGCGACTAATGTTTCGACCACTGCGACTAATTTTTGGCCGTGCCGCGACTAGTTTTTCAACCGCCTAGACTAATTTTTTGACCATGTTGCGACTATTTTTTCAAAAATGACGCGACTAACTTTTCAACAACGTCGCGTGTAATGTTTCGACCATGCTGCGACTGATTTTTCGACCAACCGACTAATGTTTCGACCCCTGCGAATAATTTTTCGACCAGGCAGCGACTAATTTTTCAGTGAAGCAACTAATTTTTCGACCACTGCGAATAATTTTTCGACCAGGCGGCGACTAGTTTTTGAACGAAGCAACTAAATTTTTGACCACTGCGACTAATTTTTCGACCGCCGCGACTAATTATTCTACCGCCTAGACTTTTTTGACCACGTTTTGACTTTTTTTTGCAATAATGCCGCGACTTACTTTTCAACAAGTTCTCGTGTAATATTTCGACCACCGCCATTATTTTTTCGACCATGCTGCGACTGTTTTTTTGACCAACGAACTAATGTTTCGACCACTGCGAACAAGTTTTCGACCAGGCGGCGACTAATATTTGAACGAAGCAACTAATTTTTTGACCACTGCGAATAATTTTTCGACCAGGCGGCGACTAGTTTTTGAACGAAGCAACTAAATTTTGGACCCCTGCGACTAATTTTTCGGCCGCCGCTACCTTTTTTGACTATGTCGCGACTAATTATTCTACCGCCTAGACTGTTTTTTCTTATGTTTATGACTTTTTTTGCAAAAATACCGCCACTAACTTTTTGACACTGTTGCGTCTAATGATTCGACCACCGCGACTAACTTTCCGATCATGCCGCGATTAATTTTTTGACCATGCCGCAACTAATTTGTCGATCGCCGCGACTAATTTTTTGACAAGGCCGCGACTAATTCTTCGACCATGCGCCGACTAATTTTTTGACCATCCCGCGACTAATTGTTTGTTACCGCCGCCTCTAATGTTTCGACCATAACTACTAATTTTTCCACCATGCCGCGACTAATTTTGCGACCATGCCGCGACTAATTTTTCGACCATCCTGCGACTAATTTTTCGATCATGCCGCGACTAATTTTTCGACTGCTGCGACAAAATATTCGAACGTCGCGACTACTTTTTTGACCATACCGCGACTATATTTTGAACCACCTAATTTAATTTTTTGACCATGTTGCGACTATTTATTCAAACATGCCGCGACTTACTTTTGGACAACGTCGCGTGTAATGTTTCGACCACCGCGACTAATTTTTTGATCATGCCATGATCAATATTTCGACAACGTCGCGTCTAATCTTTCGACCACCGCGACTAGTTTTTCGAACATGCTGCGACTAGTTTTTTGACCACCGCGACTAACTTTCCGATCATGCCGCGATTAATTTTTTGACCATGTCGCAACTAATTTTTTGACTGCTGCCACTAAATTTTTGACCAAGCTGCGACTGTTTTGTCGAACGCCGCGACTAATTTTTTGACAAGTCCGCGACTAAATTTTTGACCATGCGCCGACTAATTTTTTGATCATTCCGCGACTAATTGTTTGTTACCGCCGCCACTAATGTTTCGACCATAACTACTAATTTTTGCACCATGCCGCGACTAATTTTGCGACCATGCCGCGACTATTTTTTCGACCATCCTGCGACTAATTTTTCAATCATGCCGCGACTAATTTTTCGACTGCTGCGACAAAATTTTCGACCAAGCCGCGACTGCTTTTTCGACCGCCGCGACTACTTTTTTGGCCATACCGCGACTATAATTTGAACCACCTAAACTAATTTTTTGACCATGTTGCGGCTATTTATTCAAACATGCCGCGACTTACTTTTGGACAACGTCGCGTGTAATGTTTCGACCACCGCGACTAATTTTTTGATCATGCCATAATCAATATTTCGACAACGTCGCGTCTATTGTTTCGACCACCGCGACTAGTTTTTCGAACATGCTGCGACTAGTTTTTTGACCACCGCGACTAACTTTCCGATCATGCCGCGATTAATTTTTTGACCATGCCGCAACTAATTTTTTGACTGCTGCCACTAAATTTTTGACCAAGCTGCGACTGTTTTGTCGAACGCCGCG